GTCACTCATCACTTCATCTAATTTGCACTCATGAAGTCTCACCGCTTAAGAAAACAATATATTGAATTCCGACCTTTGAGCTACATACCGAGCCCTAAGCTACTTGATGACCTACATGACGACAGTTCTACAGCCCAGTTGGCTAGAATCTGCAAATGAATGATTCATATTAGTCTCTCCCCAACCCACTCCATAATTTGATATTTCACAAAGAAAAATCATTTCCAGCAGTACGCACTATTAGCCTCTTGAGTGACGGAAGCACCACTTGAAAGAACCTTAATGCTAAAACGCAAACGCTGGTCTTATTTTTCCTTGAATCCCATTAAATTTACACAAAGAAAATTGAGTCACATTTTTTTAACCCAGTTAACCCCAAGTGTCCTTTATGGTTTGGCTGAAGAATGCACAATTCTGGTTACATCTTTTGTTAGGCCAAATTCTGCAATGAAGCTACGAACTGGTATACAAATGAGTATATTTGTTTAGCTTTATGTTGAAGTGCCTATCATGAGCTCTAAAATAACTCCACACCTGTAACACAGCTATGGTCAAGGGTATATATATTTAAATAGGATTTGGCAGTGTAAAAGTTGAGACAGCACATGTTACAAACTACATATAGCTGCATATCTCACCCCTCTCCCCCCAAAAAAACAGACAGAATGTGGGCCCCTCTCTATTTCTTACTACATCCATACTGCCAGTGCTCAGATTCCATATTTGAGGAATTAGGCTCCACTGTCCTGTTAATGATCAAAACATTACTGTCCAGTGTTTTCCAGCCGTCACAACTCTGGCATTACTGCTATTACCCCACAGCATGGGCTGCTCTCTCCCTTATGAATATGCAGCATTTGGATAACAAAGCTAACATGCAAAAAAAATTTGTCCACATTTTTTTCTGTGATTCTGGGAAGGCGTGCAGCAGTTTTGTGAAAGTGTGAGGATGTCTACTAGGCTGCATGGAAATTTTAAAGTGTGTGCATGGGTGCTCATGTTTGTGTGTACCACGGAAGAATCGGCCGAGTTGGATTTTCATTTTCACATGCCCCTATTTTTGGCAAACTACACTCCATTCTCCTTCTACAAACACATCTTTTTGCCCTCTGCAAGCAAGTGACATTGCACCTGTTCTGCATATCCACTGAATGCCCTATCTGGACAAGTCAGCTTACTTTGCTTTCTATGCCTACTTTCTATTCATCTTGCATGCAAAGATGAACTTAGAGTGTCATGTAGGTCCCTGAAGAATTTTGTCTATTCAATTGAGTCCACACACATGATGCAGAAATTGAAGACACCCCTCTTCTGGTGAAGCTTGGATTTTGTTCATTTGTTCAATAATGGAGTTAAGTTAAGAAAGGCCTAACAAAGGTAATGTGTTTTAAGCAAGGCCTTGTATGTTCCACAGTGAAGTCCCTGGATTTTTGACAGACTGGAAATTGTGTGACAGATTCGTTTAAAATTTTAACTAGAGATATTTTACATTTTAATATTAAAATACAATCAGTACAGTAGCTATAGTCCAATCATTCAAATTTTATATTGTCTTTGCATATTCAGTTTTTGATACACTAAAGATTTTTGCATTGACAAAGTATAACTGCACTGTATGTGTTATTGGGGGGGGGGAGGGAAGTGGAGGCTTTGCCAGCTAAGCAGGAGACAGTTTGGGCTTTTGGCAGATGGGAGAGAATGGAAGACAGTTTGGGATTGTGAAACATATACATTGGCTGGACTTTTCTTCTAAAGTGCTCAGCAGTGAAATAAACAATGTTGACATTTACACAGTCATCCTTAGGTTTCAGAGTCCACAAGCCATATAGAAAAATGAAGACATTCACATCTCTTAGATCTATTGTTTTAGGCTATTTGCAGACTCAAGAAGACATCATTTATAATGGATTTAAGTTTTCAGGGTTGTCTTCATAACTATGACAGTTTAAAACACTTTAAAATGTTGCTGTTTTTCTACATATATCATTTTAACATCACAAATGCAACACATTTACAGAATAACCAAACTGGTTCCATTACCATAATAAGCTAATCACCTGGCACTCACTCTGCAGAGTCCCTAGAGGACTGCACCTTGTTTAGCCTTCCAGGTCATCAGAGGCCAGATTCTCAGCTGGTGTAACTAGCTCCAGTAAGTATATGGAACTAGTCGGATTTACAGCAGCTGAGAATCTCAACCTAAGTTCTTTGTTATATAGAGATACTCTTTTTTCCATTGATGTCAGAGATGTGCAGCTTACGCAAGTGCCATTCTGAAGGACATCCTGGTTCATACACTCATTAAAGCTATGATCTCATACCTACACTATTCAATTACCAAATAATTTAGTACTGCATGTATATGATGTCAGTATTTCCCTGCTACTTCTAGGCATTTTACAAGACCAAGAATCAAATTCTACACTGATTTACACTCTGAAGAATCCCATTATGTGACAGTTAATGTAGCTGCCCAGGAAGTAAATCAGAACAGCATTTGGCTCAAGCAAAAAAAGTTGCAAAATTGTTGGGTCCTGATTTTCAGAGGTGCTGTGCACTCACAAATCCCAATGACTACAATTCAATTTGTGGGTGCTCGGTATCTCTGGAAATTAGGCCTGTGGTGACCTACGGCCTAATAAAGGAAAAGAAGCATGCTCTTCTGACATGAAGGGCCAAATTAATCGCTAGTGTAACTTCAGCGAAGTCAATACGGTTACACAGGGAAGAATTTGGCCTCAAATGCTTACAGAATTCTCTGCATTCCTCACATGAGAGGAACATATCCAAGTTTGGGTTTTATCAGGAATATTCCCATTTCACCCAAACCAGTCTGTCAAAAATATTATCACAGGCAGACAACAAACTCTGCTTCATTAGAAATTTCACAGGCTTTTTTACGTTGTGTGGTTCCCTCAAATGGGTCCGTCTTTTTTCAGGCTGGTAAGAGTAAGGAAAGACGAGCACAATAAAATCACCCTGATTTTAACTGTTCAGCTGTGTTAAATTAGATTAAAAATCCTCATGTGAAGAACTATTTTCTACCTTAAATCACGGGAAAATATCAAGAGGTTCAGCTCATTCCTTCAGATACGGTTCACTTTGAATGCTATGAACTTTCTCAATGCTCAGTATTGCCTGAGCACAAACACCTTTGGATCCTGCTTTCAAAATAATGTTTTGCTGACATTGGTAATGAGGTCCATCCATCACATACCATCATAACGAGGAACAGGTCAAACACTTCATTAGTGCATGCTGTTGTACTGGAGCTTCTTTTATCCTAGGAAATTTTAGGTACTAGGAATGTTTCCCCCTCCCCCCATCTTTATATTAATAACATTTTTTGTCCAATCGATCCAACAACACTTGTAATTCATGAAGCTTCTCAAATAACTCTCAATGGGAAATCAAGATTACTTCATGAGAATATTGAACAGAACCAGATTCCAGGCACTTTAAAATAAATGGGGAAGGGTTAATAAATTCTCACATGGTTATTGGTCACTTTGCCAGGATATAGTGGAATAATAAAAAGAAAAAATCAGTGTGTCAGTCCAAAGCGTATTTCAGGTGCAAATTAGCATATCTGCTCTTCTGTTAAACACACCCTGAATATATTTCCTTCACTGCACACAGCAGGAGCAGCAGCAAGGCTACCAAAGGGCGCTATATCTGCTCATTCACATAGAAGGTGCTCTCCGGTCCTAGATAGGAAAAATAAAGGACAGGTGGAAAGGGCACCCCACAGGAACTGCCTACCACTTTGCCCTTAACAAATAGTGTAGAGCCTAATGATAAGTAGGAGCTTTGGAGGTGAAAGGGGGGCTGGCTGTGACCAAATTACCTGCACAGATCAAGGCACCAGAGAGCACTTGTTTCCTGTGCAACAGGGCAGCAGCTCAGCTGTTCCCAACAGCAGGGCGAGGTCTGCTGCTGCAAAAGCCTGCAATGTACAACAGCACACATACCCCAACTCAATGGATTTTGTTACCGCCAAAAAAATAAATATCTTTCAGTGTGAGGAAGGAGACGGAACACAAGAAAAACTCCAGGATCCACCACTACTAGAAAACAGAAATACAATTTACAATCATAATCAATAGCTAATTGCTCTCAGGCAGATTTGGCATTGCAGTACCAACTGTAAACCTTGTTATACTTTCTTTGTTTCTTTTTTCTATTACAACGTTTTACAAGGAAATAAATATTTTCCAGTATGTAATGGAGACACAAACATTACACACACACTTAGACACAATGGACCAGATTTGTCCCTGGCATCACTCCCGCTAAGTCAATGGAGTTACAACAGTACTATTACTACAGCCAGCATTTCCAAGGTGCTGGAACTAGGGGTGCTGCTGCACCCCCTGGTTGGAAGGGGTTTCCATCATACACAGGGTTGGCTCAATGGCTCTCAGCACTCCGACTATACAAGTTTTTCCAGCACCCGTTATTCCAGTGAAGTTCGTTAATTTGCAGTACAGTACTGTCCTTTCACAGCAATTCTCTAACAAGTTTTCTTCTGGAAGTTTTCCCCACTCACTGTCTCTCCCGTAACCACTCTGTTTATTAGGCCTTTGCTTTCCCTGCCTGCTTTTCTAGAGGCTCTCACTCCCCATATATACAACTTCTCCATACACCCGTAGTGAACGCACCAGGCAGTGTGTGTGAGAGAGAGAAAGGAATACAACTGGATGAAATGACACGCACGGTGTAAATGCCAATGCACGATTATGTGCTGAAGAGCCCATGGGCTAAAGGGAAAGAGTGGACAGGCGGTATGTTACCGGGGGAGGGAGGCTATATTAAGGGGGGCAGACCTGTAAGTGCCCCCTGGCGTGGTTGATCCTGCAGAGGGACCGGAGAGGCCAGAGGGTTGGAGTATTGTGTTTTACAGCCCTGGGGCTGCCTGTGGTTTAGAACAGGGAAATCCTTCCCACTCACCCACTTTCGGGCAAACCCAGGCTCCCCACCCCATGCCCCCCGCCAGGCACCTGGATATGGCAGGAGATCTCGGAGTCGTCCAGCAGCCGGATGGTGCATTTCATCTCCTGGCTCAGGGACCTGATGCTCGAGCTCCGGAACCGGATCATTTTCATGGTCCTCCTGCCGCCTCTCCTCATGCACTCGCAGGGGGCGAACATGCACCACAGCCCCCGGGGGGAGCGAGCCCAGCCGCCCGGGCACCTGGAGCCACCCACCCCGGGCCGCGCAGTGCAGCTAGAGCAGAGCTCGGCGGCCGCTCAGCCCCGAGGCGGCGGCTCCTGCCGCGAAGCGGACACCATGCTGCCGCTGCCGCTGCCTGCGCCGCCGCTGCCCGAGCCCGGGCTCTTCCCCGCAGCCAGCCCCAGAGGGGGCCGCGCGCCTAAACCACAAGCCCCGGCGGCGTGTGAAGAGACTGGGAGCCCGGGGTCTGCGCCAGAGGCTGGGACCGCCGCTGCTGCTGCGTCAGTCTCTGCTCTCCTGTCTCCAGCCCAGCTTCAGCATCCCTCCACCCTCCCTGCCTCGCAGCCCGCCGTTGCCCCTCCCTACGCCTCCTCCCCCTTCTCTCTTTCTCTCTCTCTCAGGCTCACCTCTTCCCTCTCGCGCCCCGTCGCCCCCTCGTCTGTCTCTCTCCTTCCCCCTCTCACATTCTCTTCTTCCCTCCCCCCCTAACATTTTCTCTTCTCCTCCCTCTATTGCTCTCTTGTTCTCTTCCCTGCCTGCCTGGCTTCTTCCTCCCATTTTCTCACCCCCGTTCCCATGCACTCAGTTTCTGTTGGGGCACAGGTGGGATTAAGCTAAAGGCGTGGTCTCAAAGCACCCCCAGGAGAAGGGGGTCCTTGCTGCAGATTTGGAAAAGTCAGCATTTTCCACCTTTGCAAGGAAAATTATGAAAGTGCTAAGGGTGCAAATGCTCTGTTTGTTTTAGCATGGCCTGTGGCAAGTTCCTTGACCTAAGGAGTTTATAATACAAAGCCTCACTCGAACCTCCCCTGCACCTGAGTAACTCAATTTTGTGATTCCATGAGTTGGGCCCTGCTTAGAACAAAAACAGTGGGTGGTGGTGGATATGGATGGAGTAAGAAGATGGAAAGGTATAGAACACTATAATTACAACCTGTTATCACTATACCCTATTTAAGAATGTGTGTCTTAGAGCCACATGATTCCAGAGAGAACTTGTCCATTGTACATGATATGTTCTGATCCCATTAGCTGGTCCCTACCTATCCATGATTCTATAGGAGAGAAAATGAAAATATCAGATCACCAGGAAGCCACTGTCTTGGATGCTGCACCATCAATAGGGTGCAACTCAATGTGCCACAGAGCTACAAATAGGGTTGCCAGGTGTCCAGTTTTATACTAGAATGCCCGGTCAAAAAGGGACCCTGGCGGCTCCGGTCGGCACCGCCAACCAGGCTGTTAAAAGTGTGGTTGGTGGCACAGCAGGGGCCCAAGGTTAAGGCAGGCTCCCTGCCTGCCCTAGCTCTGCACAGCCCCTGGAAGTGGCCACCAGCTCCTTGCGGCCCCCAGGCACATGGTGGCCATGGAGGCTCTGCGTGCTACCCTTGCCCCTAGTGCCAGCTCGCATTGGCTGGGAACCACGACTAACAGGAGCTATGGGAACAGCGCTCGCAGGCGCGAGGGCAGTGTGTGGCGCCTCCGTGGCCGCCCACGTGCCATGGGGCTGCACTGCAGGGACCTGATGGCCACTTCCTGGGAGTTGCGGTAAGCGCCACAGGGACCCCTCACCTCAAATTCCCTGCCCCACCCCTGAGCCCCCTCCTGCACCCCAAGCCCCTCATCCCTGGCCCCACCCCAGAGCCCACACCCCCAGCTGGAGCCCTCACACCCCTGCACTCCAACCCCCAGCCCCAGCCTGGAGCCCCCTCCTCCATCCCAAACCCCTCATCCCCAAACCCACTCCAGAGCCTGCACCCACAACTCAAGTCCTCAGCCACCCATGCACCCCAACCTCCTGCCCCAGCCCAGTGTAGGAGCAGGATTTTATAATTGTACTATGAGAATTAATGTATGATTTGATTTCATCCTGCCAGCCATCCTTTTTGAATAGCAGAAAGGAATGACAGACCAGAACAATCCTTATGATTGATTATGGTCACCCTTTTGTTTTAGGATAAGTTATAATGTCTACTATGGTTTCCTATATGTATTACAAATTAGGCACTCTAGTTAAATATACATTTCTTTGTTTTAAGGTTTAGAAAGTAAAAGACAGGATCTTGTATTGTGTCTATGTTAAGGAGATTAGAGGAATGTTGAGGGCCTGAAGCCCCAGTGTGAATTGTTTTAGTTATAAGATTCAGCAAGGCTTGGTTTACAATGTATTCTGCTGAATATACAATACTGCTGTCTGTATACCTTTGAAGGTTTCTGTAAGAGATTGTTTGTGTGAATGAGGAATGCATGCATCAGGAAAAGATAAGGTGTGAAAGCCATCACAAATGTTCAAATGGTCAAGAAAAAATGAGAGACTTGGAAAAAAACAGGAGACAATCTTAGTCTCTAAGATGCCACAAGTACTCCTGTTCTTTTTGCGGATACAGACTAACACGGCTGCTACTCTGAAACCTGTCATTGTATCTGATGTTAAACATGTTAGCAGCATTGAGGACCTCAGAGGTTAGGCAGGCACCCCCGAAGGCGAGACAACAAATAGGAGATAACGATGGGAAGCCAGACAATAAACATCAAATGATAACACCACTTAAGGACTAATGATTACAGGATGACATTGCAAAATGCATGGACTCAAATGGGAATTTACACCTATAAAGCTGGGGTGTTTTGCCATGGAACTCTGGGTTCAGTCCTGCAAAGCCTTGGAGCATCGGATTGCGACTGACAAGAGCCCAGCTCCTCACTCGTGCTCAATCTAACTGGCCATTAGATTGACTCGAGCTACAACAGACTGGTAACTATAAACATCAACTGGCAGGAGAGAGAGAGAGAGAGAGTGTGTGTGTCTGTGTCTGAAAAGCATATGCTAACTGTTGTATTTTCAATAAATGCGGCATATTTGTCTTTTCCTCCCTGAAGAGATCCCGTGTGCTTTGTATAGCATAACACCAGAGCCCTCTGCTGCACCCTGAGACCCTCATTTCTGGCCTGACCCAGACCCCTAGCTCAGAGCCCATACCACACACCCTGTTGCACCACAACCCCCTACCCCAGCCCGGAGCCCTCTCCCGTACCCCAAACCCCTCATCCCCGACCCTTCCCCAGACCCCACACTGCTCTCCTGCACCACAACCCCCTGCCCCAGCCCAGTGAAAGTGAATAAGGGTGGGGGAGAGTGAGCAGGGGCAGGGCCTCGGAAGAGCGGCGGGGCAGGGGTGTTCAGTTTTGTTTGATTAGAAAATTGGCAAGCCTAGCTACAAAGACTGTGGCAAGCAGTGTGAGCACTAAGAACAGGTATGGTATAGACAACAGTGGTTCTCAACCTTTCCAGGCTCTTGTACCCCTTTTAGGAGTCTGATTTGTCTTGCATACCCCCAAGTTTCTCTTCATTTAAAAACTGCTTGCTTACAAAATCAGACAAAAATACAAAAGCATCACAACACACTATTACTGAAAAATTGCTTACTTTCTCATTATTACCATATAATTATAAAATAAATCAACTGGAATATTTATATTGTACTTACTTTTCAGTATATAGAGCACTATAAACAAATCATTGTTGATATGAAATTTTAGTTTATACTGACTTCCCTACTGCTTTTTACATACCCTGTTGTAAGACTAGGCAAATATCTAGCTGAGTTGATGTACCCCTCGAAGACCTCTGCATTAACAAGGCTTTTAACAGTCCCATAACACATTCTCATAAACCAACTAGGGAAATGTGATCAGATTAAATTACTATTAAGTGCAATTGGTTGAAAGACCATACTCAAGAGTAGTTATCAATATTGCACTGTCAAATTGGCAGGGCATATCTAGTGGAGCCCTACAGGGGGTCAGTTCTGGGTCAGGTTCTATTCAAGATTTTCATTAATGACTTGGATAACCGAATGGAGAGTATGCTTCTAAAATTTGCGGATGACAAAGCTGGGAGGGGTTACAAGCACCTTCGAAGACAGGATTAGAATTCAAAATAACCTTGACAAATTGGAGAATTGGTCTGAAATCAACAAGATGAAATTCAATAAAGTACAAAGTACTTCACTTAGGAAGGAAAAGTCAAATGCACAGCTACAAAATGGGGAATTACTGACTAGGTGATAGTATTGTTAAAAAGGATCTAGGGGTTATAGTGGAACTCAGATTAAATATGAGTCAACAGTGTGATGCAGTTGTGAAACAGGCTAACATTCTGGGGTGTACAACAGAATTCTATGCAAGACATAGAAGGTAATTGTTCCACTCTACTCGGCCCTGGTGAGGCTTCGGTTGGAGTACTGTGTTGGGTTACCTAGGGAGGTGGTGGAATCTCCTTCCTTCGAGGTTTTTAAGGTCAGGCTTGACAAAGCCCTGGCTGGGATGATTTAGTTGGGAATTGATCTTGCTTTGAGCAGGGGGTTGGACTAGATGATCTCTTGAGGTCCCTTCCAACCCTGATATTCTATGAATTCCGGGCACTACATTTTTGGAAAGATATGGACAAATTGGAGAGAGTCCAAAGGGGATTGCCAAAAATGATAAAAAGGTTTAGAAAACGTGACCTATGAAGAAAGGTTAAAAACCAGCCTTTTTTAGTCTTGAGCATTGTCGACGCATTAACTGCTGGCTGGGGAAGGCTAGTCCCCCAGTACCCCTTCTGCCTGAGGCTCTGCCCCTTTCGTGCCCCCCTGCCAGAACACCCCCCACCGCAGCTGCCAGCTCCGGCCCTGGTTAGTGCCCCCAGCCCGGGAGCTGTGTCGAGCAGGAAGTAAGAGGGGGGGATCCTAGGGGCAGAGCCTGGGCAAGGCCATGCCTGGCTGTTTGGGGAGGCATAGCCTCCCCCAGACTAGGATACCTGCTGCCCATGGGCTTGAGAAAACAAGACTGAGAGGGGGAACTAATAAGAGTCTTCAGATATGGTAAGGGCTGTTATAAGGAGGACTGATCAATTGTCCCCAATGTCCACTGAAGGTAGAACAAGAAATAATAGGTTTAGTCTGCAGGAAGGCAGATTTAGGTTAGATATTAAGAAAACATTTCTAACCCTAAAAGTAGGTAAGCTCTGGAATAGGCTCCCAAGAGAGGATATGAAATTCCTATCATTGGAGGTTTTTAAGAACAGGTTAGTTAAACAGATGTCAGGGATGGTCTATGTTTACCTGTATAAGGAATAGTTATGAAGAAACTGTTTTCATGTATCCTGAAATGGGAAGGAGTTCTCCCCCTCTCTGAACTGAGAGCCCATCAGTATTTCAAGTACTGTGTATAAAATATATATTAATATTTGTGAGCATTTCACTGTACTTATCACTGTAGTAATTGAAAAATCTCAGAGGACTAAAGATACATAATTTAATTCAAGTGGTAAAACTCCTATTGACTTCAATGAGTGCAGAGT